GAGCCTGGGGCAGCTTTTAACTTCTTGCGACCTTAGCAGGGGCCTGGCATCTCTCCAGGCTCCGGGCGAGACTCAGGACCTGAGTCCATTCACCCTCCCATTCACCCTGGCCACCGAGCCTTGGAGCCAAGGCAGGTGAGTTGGGGATGACCAAGGCCACATTGGCCACACCCACCCCTGCCCTGAGTGTCTACCTCCTGAGTGTTCTAAGCGGGAGAAGGGGCCTTCCACACTGTTCGAGGCAGAGACGGCCCCGGTAAGTGTCTCTGACAGTCACAGAGACCCCTCTGGGGTTGATGGCTGGTCAGAGGGACCCGGGCAGGGCCTTGGGGCAGCGAGTGGACAGGCGCCATGGCCAGAGGTGCCATCCCCCACCCGCCCTTGGCCTTCAGCCCAGACCCAGGTTCCTCTCTTCCCAGAAGTTCGTCCCCCGGAATGGAGTTACGTGTTTTGCACTCGTTAACCTTCTGAACCTTCCAGAAAGGGAGTGGAAATGCCCTGCCTCCTCCTCCTGCTGAGGAAGCCGGGGGTGGGAGTGGGGAACAACAGGGGACCACCCAAAAATGCCACGGGGAACCACAGATCTGAGGGTCCCCGGCAAGGGGTGCTGTCCTGGGCAGGGGCTCAGTCCCCAGGGAGGCTCTGCAGGTCTGCATGGCAGAGTGGGGGAGGGCTGGAGAGCTGGACCAGTCCCCTCCCCCCCATGGTTCTTCGGTCTGCTTTGCAAACTCCAAATGTGCACTCATGACTCACCTGCTTAAAACCCCTTGGGGGCTCCCTGCAGCCTTCTGGGTACAGTCCTGGCCCCTAGACCCTTCCCATAGCGACCCCTACCTGTCCAGCCCCCTCCCTCCCCCACACCCAGGCTCCCAAGGGCTCTGGGACTTGTTCCTCAACAGCGTCCACGTGTCTGGGCTGCTCCTGCCACGCCCAGGTCTCTTCTCCATCTCCACTTGCTGGGCCCAAGACCCCCGAGACCCCTCAGCACCCAGCTGTGTTTTGTGTGTTCCCCACCCTGATGGCACTTATCCCCCTGGGTTTTGTCATCTGTGAAAGGAGGTTAATCATGGGATGGCCCCAAGGACTTCAGGGCTCACACATGGGGACTGCTCGGCCCAGGTCCTGCCTGCAGGAAGTGCTGTGCTGCGGTTGCCCAGGTCACCCTCACCTCCCTGGGCTCAGCTGAAGTTTCCAGGGTGGCTGGCAAAGGCGTCCAAGTCTCCATGTCTCTCTGTCTGCTGCTCCCAGTGTGTCTCCCTCAGTCCCTTCACCCCACCAGGGACAGATTTCAAGCCTGTGTCTTGGGCAACAGGAGACATTCTTAAAGTCGTGGTTCAGAGGAGGACAAACCACTTGAGATGGAAGGGTGGTGGGTGGGAGAAGAAGAGGGCTTTTCAGCTGGGCGTGGAGGGCGAGGAAGCTTGGGCTCCAAGCGAAGGGGGTGGCAGGTGGGTGGAGGGTGGCCCAGAATGGCCGTCATCATGATGACACGGGAACCTTGGGTCTTGACGCCACACAGCTCAGACCTGCCCAGCAGGCAGGCATTTCAGCCCCTGCAACAGAGTCCCAGCATCCCTGAAAGTCCCTGGGGGGTCCCAGGGACAGCCTGCATTTCACCCAGGGCTCACCAATGGGTCCTGGAAGGGGGCCCCACAGCAGGGCGGTGAGACCTAGAGAGAACCCTCTCTCAGATCACTCCCCCTGCATCTTTGTGCCCCTGAGCTGGGGAACTGTCCCCAGGGAGGTCACTTTGATGGAGTCAGACCTGAAAACACCCTGGTCCCTCTCCCTCACCCGGCAGCTCCCTGCCTGCCGGGCTTCTTCCTCCGCCCCTACCCCAGGCCTTCAGACCTCTGTGCGAGCCAGAGTTCCCAGACAGCCCCAGCTCCCGTGCCAAAGATGGGGTGCAGTCCTGGCTGCTGCTCGGAGGAGTGAGGTGTCTGGAGAGAGGCTGGGGACAGGGACTGCAGGGGGAGGGGCTCCAGGGGTGACTCCCCCTCCACCCAGCTTCCGGGGACAGCTATGAATGGTTTCTGTTCCTGACACCTGTTCTTTCTCCCTTCTCATTCCTGCTTCATTTTGCCCCTTTCCCACCGTGCCCAACCCCAGAGCAGAGCAGCTTCCTGATTCTATTATGTCTTGTGTTTTTTGGGAGACAATGGGTCGTGCCCGTGTCTGGGCCAGCTCAGACAGCTTCGCCCGGGATGTGAGACACGTTCCCATGGCTTGTCAAAGCTAAAAACAGGGACAAGAAAAGAGTGGGAGACATAGAGAGGGGACAGAGAGAGAGACAGACAGAAGTGCACCAGGTCCCCCACCTTATTGTTTGTCCATTTATTAGACTGATGTCTGGTGACACATGGCACACTGAGTATCATTTCATGGCTCAAGTTCATATCCCTAAGTCTGTTTTCCCAGGTTTGTCCTGAGAATTTGAGAGTTGGAGTGCTGAGTGGGCTGGTGTGACCACTCCTTGTGGTCACCGGGAGGGAGCCAGTGTCACTCGCCAGCCCCTGCCACCCTGCAGTGCCCCCCACACCCCTCCACCTGTTGGCCTCTTACTCATCCTTCAAGACCACCCCTGTGTCCTTCCTCCAAGCAACCCCCACACAGGATCGGCAGACAGGGTGTGCCTCTCTGTCCCTTAAGGGCCCCCTATGCATATCTGGCTGTCACTGAGATGGGCTGGCCTTGAGGCCAGGACTACATGTGTCAGTGCCCAGCACGGCTGGCTGGAGTCAGTGACTGTCTGCTGAGTGTGGGGGGGAGTGAGTGAGTGAATGCCAAGGGACTGAGTGACCCGAGGGCCAGAGCTGGGCATCCTTTTCCCTCCGGTCCATCCTTTTCATGGGTGAGGAGGCTGAGGCCCAGGGCGGGCCAGGCAGGGCCAGGACTGGGGCCCGACATCCACCTTTCCTGGGAGCAGGTCCCACGACAGGGCTCCCTCCCTGCTCCATGGGGAAAATGGTTAGTGGCTTTAAGGGGCCTCGCACCCTGGCTCAGGCCTTTCCCTCCAGCCAGGTCTGGACTCCACACGCCCCACCTCGAAGTCCTGGAGCATGTGGGTAGGTTATACACAGGAGGGCTTCAGGCAGAAGGTGTTCTCAAGGGAGAGGCAGGGAAGTAGTGAAGGGGACATTTGGGGGCCCTATTCTCTGCAGCTGGCAAAATCACCCTGTCCTCTGAGACTCAGGGGTTGGCCCCTGCAGAGCCCCCTCTGCACACCCCACCCAGGCTCTGCAGCCCTCTGTCTGCCCCCTCCCGTCTAGAGAGCAGAAGGCGGGAAGGGTCTGATTCCACGGGATTGGCACAAAGGCAGCCATCTCTCGCCCTTCTCTGTCCTGCTCTGTGCCCAGGGTGCTGACCTCTATGCACAGCACCCCTCAGACCCCTGCCCTCTGGCCTCTGGCGAGGTATGGCTGGTGAAGGCCCCAGCCCGTGATCAGAGGCAGGAGGGCAGAGCCCTTGGGGGGCTTCATGCCTTTACCTATAGCCGCCGCTCCTGCCAGGGACTATCACCCAAGGCCACTATTGGCTGGTTCTGGAAGCACCACTCCCTTCCTCCCCACAGCTCAGGGAGTGCTTATGGCCCCATTACAGCCAATCCTGGGTCACCATCTCTCCTTGGGTCCCCTGACACTGCCCACACCCATGCAGACGCTCTCGTTTGCCCAGCGAGACAGTGCGCCATCTGTTTCCTGCCAGGGCCTGACCCACACGGGGCGCGGGTGAAGGTTTGTGGAGTGCAGGATCTTATAGCTCACTCCACTCGACCTTTGCTTTTTACATCATGGAAAACTGAGGCCCAGAGAGGGTGAGTTACCTGTCTGGGGACACCCAGGCCCAGAGTCAGGGCTCAGGGGTGCTCTGAAAAGGCTGTGGAGAAGCCACGGCTTAACTCATAGAAGCTGGAAGTCTGTTTGTCCCTGTCCCCTGCCTGCACCTCCCCACCTGGCTACCCCATGTGGTACTTGAGGATTTCCTCCAGGGCAGGAGCCGGATGTGTCTGCTCAGGATAATAAACCCATCAGGGCCATCTGCACCTCCCAGAGGCAGGCAGCTGGAACCCAGCCAGCACCCTCCTCCCCTGACCTTGTGCCCCAGAGGGCGAGGTCCTGCCTTGTGGCATGGGGTGCCTCCCAGCCTCTCTTCCATCCCTCACCCACCCCAACCTGCCCACCAGCAACTTGTCGCTGTTTCTGCCTGGGCACCTTTCCCATGTCCACCCTGCCCAGGTGTCCTGCTCCTTCTCCAAAGCCACACCTGCCCAAGAAGCCCCCTCTGAAGCCCCAAACAGTCCAACCCTTTGGTGCCTGTTCCCTCCTCCCCTTGTACTGTCCTCCCCCTGCAGAGGTGGCACCTTGCCTCGGCCATCGTCAGGCCTGGCACGCAGCAGGGCTGTTGATCAACGCTGCGTGCCCTGCATTAGGTTTGGGGCTGGGGTCTGCTCGGGGCTGAGTCCAGGCTGCTCTTAGGAGCTGCAGCTTCACACATACTTCCTGCCCCCCCAGCCTGGGCTGCCCCACCCAGAAGCATGGACACACGTGTCGTGAGGTCTAGAAGCTGCACCTCTTGTGTGCTCCAGGGAGGAGTTGGAGGCAGGGGGGGCAGATGGCCAGAGTCCTCCAGCCAGGAGGAGGGGCCAGCTTGGGTGGGATGGACGACAAGTGCCAGACACGTGGCCTTTGGGTAAGAGGAGGCTGGCTGGGCAGGACAGGGGAGCACCTCTCACGGGTCTGTAGTCTTCACAGCTCCCAAGGCATGTCACCTTGGTTTAGCTTCAAGGCGTCCCAGGGGGCCAGGGTTACCATCTCATTTCAAAGACAGGGATATTGAAGCTCGCAGAGAAGCAGGTCCTGCCCCAGGTGGCTGCTGGCCTAGGATCCTGAGCCTTGTCCCTGGGCCTGCATCCCCTTGGGAACCTCCCCAGGCTGGGGGCAGTGGCGCAGGAAGACTGCCCAGGTGTACAATGTCACACACAGGTGTTGGGGACATTTATTTCTAACAGGGACTGGCACAAACTTTGGGCTAAGGACACCTTCCCCCAACCTCATCTAGTAACAATCTTTCCCAGGGCTTCAGAAGCTTCAGGCTGTGTCCCAGCCCAGACTGCAGAGCCCGGGCCAGGGAGATGCTATGGGGTGGATGGCGCTCCTGGAGGCCCTCAGGAGCCCCCCACGGCGGGAGTGCTGAACGCATCATGGGTGGTGTATCTCCTCACACTCACTGTCTCTCTTGGGCCCGAGATGGGGGCGCTCCTGCAGCTGTCGAAGCTTATGTGGGGAAGAGAGGGGAGAGACATGGAGAGTGAAGGCAGGGCCGGGAAGAGGTCCTGCAGCCACTGCCTAGTTCCCCAGCCTGCTGCACAGGGGAAACTGAGGCTCCATGGGCCGGGCAGAATTAACCAAAGAGAGACCTTGCCAATCCCACCCCTCACTTCCGGTCCGTGGTCACGGCCAGGCCCCTACACTCTCTCCCTCTCCCCCAGAACCCCGGGATCCCTCTAAAACATTATCTGTCTCCCATGATCAAAACCCACCATTGGCTCACATAGGCTGCAGACACAGCCCAGTTCCTCACTGGGCACCCGGCCTCCCCAGCCTTGCCCGTCGGCTCTCCTGCCCAGGAGCCCCCACAGTTCCCCACCTCCCTGCCACTCCCTTCTTGGAACCGCCCCAAACCCCACTGGGGGCCAGGCTTCCCTTCTCCTCCTCCTTCCCTTCTCCATGGACACCGCTGTGCGCCAGGCCCCAGCACCTGAGCTCTGTCTGACATCTTGCTGTAACACCTAGAGCTTGGCCTGAAAGCGGTTCACCTCCACCTGGGGCGTCCCTGCCCGCCCCCACGTGCGATCCCAGCTGCCGCCACCAGGGGGCGGGCGGTGTCCGCTTGGAAGCGGGGGGGGGCGGGGCGGAGGGGAGGGGCAGGCGAGGGAAGGTTCATGGCCCTGCGGTCCCCACTCCCGACCCCCGCGGGCTCAGCCCTGACCACTCACCAGGTGTATATGAGCACAGCGAGGAGGGCGGTGAGGAGGAGAGCGAGGAGGATCGACAGGATGGCGATGATGACAACGGTGCCCGCGCTCTGGGCCCCCCGGACAACCTGGAGCTTCTGGGCTGAGGGGCGGTGATGGGGACCGCACAGCCAGGCAGGAAGAGATTTTATTTGATCCGAAAAGGGGACCTTGGGCAGCTTCCAGGCCAACGCCCTCCACCCCAGGCCAGGAGATGGGGTGGGGGCGAAGGGGTGCGGCTGGGTGGGGGGGGCACCTGCAGATCCAGAACGGTCACGTGCCTCTGATTGACAGGCCGGTCTGTTCCCCCAGCCCACCGCAGTCCGCCGGCTCCCCTTGGGCCCCGCCCCCACTGTTCGACCGGAGCCTCTGGCTCCCTACCTTGGGGCAGTTGGGTCCCCCTGGACCACTCTGTCTCAGCCACGGGTCCCCTGTCATTCATCACCAGGAACTTCACCCTGAACAGGACACCCAGCATTGGGGGTGGGGTCCCCCAGATCCTGAAACCATCAGGCCCTGGTGCCTGTGGTCTGTCCCCTTGACTCCCAACACAAGGGGCTCAGGTTTGACATTTCCAGCTGTGTGACCGTGGGTGTATCCCTCACCCTCTCTGGGGCTTAGTGCCCTGATTTGGAAAATAGGGAGAGGGCATTAGACCTCCCTGCAGGGAACACAGGTGAGTCAAGCACTTAGTGAGGGACACAGGGGCGGAATCTAGTCACTGCCCAGGGGTTGGCCTAGTCTGGATGGGGACATTCCACCTGAGTGGTCCAGACAGCCATGGGGACTGCGGCTTGAGGTGGGGCCCTCTGCCCAAGAAAAATGGGACGATGAGCGAGGCCACCCGGCCCTGCCCCTCCTCACCCTCCCTTTGTCGAAACTGGAGCAGAACGGGGCGCCCTGCTTGGGCCGGGGCGCCCTGCTTGGGCCGCTGGGAACCTCCTAGGAGCTGCTGGGGGTTTGAGTTTGAGTGCGGCAGGAGCACCCCCACCTCCGCCAGGGCTTGGCAGAGCCTCTCACCTGTAGGGGCCCGAGTCCGGCAGGGGGCGGTTGCAGCCCCTAGTCGTCAGGGCACAGCGAGTGTCATTGCCCACACGGAGGACACGGAGCTGGCTGCTGGCCTGGCCCCCGGAGTAGAGCGCCCGGTGGGCCATCAGCGTGAGGTAGTAGCCACTCTGGGGGAAGTCGGCAGGGACAGGGCTGACCGCTACACTCTCTGGGGCCCTGAAGCTCTGGGTGGCTGAGGGTGGCACTGCAGTCAGACGGAGGGGGCCACGAGGGCAAGACCCCATCCTCACCCTACCAGGCCTGCCAGCCCTCCCAGGGCCCCAACCCCTACAGCACCGTCCCCTTCCCTGACTGCCCCCACTGCTGCCCCTCTCAGGCCTGTCTGCCCATTTCACAGAGGGAAGACCGAGGCCTGCCCCCAGCAGCACCCACCGTTGCTGCGGGCCACCACCAGCCAGATGGCGTCCTGGTCTGAGATGCTGGGGCTGCTGAACAGGCCCCGCGGCTGCTCCAGGGTGAAAGTGGACTGGGTGAGCCTCCCCGCCAGGGTGGCGCTCGAGAGCCGGGGCACATAATCGATGTGCTCTGTGGGGGTGGGAGGGAAGGGCAGAGGAAGAGGCTAAACAGGGCAACAAGCTCCCGCTGGGCCCCCAGCCCAGTCTGAGGGGGGAGACATAGAGCCGTCTTGGGAGCCCCAGTCTGAGGGAGGCGTTAGGGGAACTCCATGGGAAGTCAGGTCAGGCGTTGTCAGGACATCTTCCTGGCAACTCTGTGCCCCATGGGACATGGGTGGGTGGCCTGAGTCCAGCCCCTGGCCCCTTTCCTGGGAGACTGCTGGGGTGAGCACCGTGTGAGGTCACGGGGAGGCCCTGCCCTGCTCCTCCATGTCACGGGGGTCTCCCAGGGAAGGGCAGGCATGGAGGCAAGGGAGGCCCCGCCCTGGTGGCAGGCACCTTCTTCTGGGACTTGCTGGGATGGGACTAGAATTTCGGGGGAACCTGTACCTTCTGCTGAACTCTGCCCCTAACATGCCCAGTGACCTTGGACTTGAGTCTCTCTGCCCCCCCCCACCTATGTGAGGTTGGTTTGCTTAATGAGAGGAAAGAGCAGCTTGGGAGGGGTGCAGGGGATGTCACAGGAAGGTCCCCTGACTGAGACCCCAGGCCTGGACATGGACTGCCCAGAGGGGGCCGTGGGCTCTGGGGCCACCTCCCACCCCAGCCCCAAAGCATCTTCCCCTGCAGCGCCTGTCCCCTCTCAGGTCCTCACAGCCTCCCCTGGGAAAGGGTATGGGGCAGGGCAAGCACCGGGGGCCACATGCCACAGGGGAGTCATACCCCCTACCTGCTCCCTGAGCCCCCTGCGGGCAGAAACAGAGGCACAGTGTCCTCCTCTCCCCAGCCCCAATGCTGGGGCCGGGCACACTCTCCCCTTCAGTTCAGTCCAATTCATGCCTGTGCGCCATGGGTGGCTCAGACCTATCTCTGAGCCCCAGGACAGTCTGCATGCAGTAGGTACTCAATGTTTGGAAAGAGGAGGGGAGAGGCAGAAATGGGGGTGCTGTACTCTCAGCCCATCTAGTTTAAGAGCAGATGATGCCCGCAGCCCCACCACAGAGCTTCCTGGGCCAGCGCTGACCTCTGGCACTTCTTAACCCTCTCCTCAGGGACGAGAGGGGAGGGTGGGCAGCCATGTGTGTGAACTGGGGGTGAGAATCCCAAAGACACAGAGGCAGGACCATGGTGCCCAGTCTTGGTGGGGGATAGGTGTCTGTCTCATGGCAGCTTGTGGTGGGCTGTCCCTCTGACCCACCCTGGACCCGGTCCCCAGCCCTGTGCCAGTGCCCACCCGCACTCACCCAGGCCCTGCCGGGGCTGGACGAGGGTCAACAGCACCAACAGCAGCATGAGCAGCTGGGACTGTCCCCCGCTGTGTCCCATGGCCAGGCCAAGCACCCAGCAGTCTGTCGGTCGTCTAAGAGTCTGCAGTGTCCGCCGCCCTGGAGGCTCCTGCGCCTGTGCTGGGCTGGGGGAGGCCACTCCTGGCATCTCCCGGTGCCCCTCCCAGGTGCCCCCTCCTCCCAAACAACTGGTCCGACAGGTTTGGGGCAGAATCTGCAGGCCCGGGGATTCAGCATCACCAGGGAGGGTCTGAGCAGAACAATGGTTGCAAGATGAGCCCGACACTCCCACCCCCACCCAGGAGGGCCTGGCCAGGGAGGGGCTGAGGAAGGCAGAGGCTGCCCAGTGACAACGCTGCCACACCTACCCCCTCCACGGCATCTCCTCATCCAAACAGTCCCCAACCTGGCAACCGGGGGCTCCTCGCAGCCCCCTGGGGGGAAGGGAGTTACCCCCACTTCCTAGCAAGGACAGGGAAGGGGGTCTTACCCAGAGCACACAGGCTGCCAGGGCAGAGCTGGGGATTAGATCACATGTAGTCCCCGCCCCTGGCCGTAGTGGCCTGGCCCTGGGAGGGGGCTCCCTTCCTCATCTCTCCCTGCTCCACCCCCAGACCCTGCCAGGGCAGGGCAGTCCCTCCTCCAGACAGAAAGTTACCAGATGGGGCCCAGGGCAGGTGGGCAGAGCATGGTGGTGGTAATGGCCTCTCACCTGGATTGCAGCACCTGCCCCCTCAGCCCAGCCCCCACACCTGGACAGAGCCACCCTCCTAATCACGCCGGGTGTCTCTCTGCTGAAAATCCAAGATTGTCATCACCCATGGCCCCCATTCCTGGGTGAAGAGGGGGCTTCCCCGAACAAGACACATCTCAGTTCCCCGGGAAGATGCAGATGTCCACCCCAACTCACAAGAAAAACTTCTGGAAGGAACTTCTGTTATAAGCAGGACACGCTGGAAACCTCAAGTGCATCACAGTGGAAAGGGGTTGAGAGTCACTGGCCCCCAGGTACTTAAAGTTCTAGATCTTCCCAATCAGGCTCCCTCCCTGCTCCTGGCTTCCTTCTCAGAGCACCCAGTGCTCCCTCACACCTCTGAGCCTTTGCACGTGCTGTTCCCCTGCCTGGGATCGCCTCCTCCCCAAGGAGAAAACTTCTACCACTACTGCAAAACCCAGCTCAACTATCGCCTCCTCCATAAAGTCTTCCCAGACACTCTTCCCAGCCTCTTCCCTTACCCCCAGAGTGACTCCCTTCTTTCTCAGTGTTGCTCTGGCCAGTGTCCTACCTGTTGCTCATGGACCAGCCAGCCATGCGCTGTCCACCCTTTTGGGGCCCAGCCTGCTCTGGGGCAGGTGGGAGGCTAATTGCCTTAGTTTATTCAGGCTGCTATAACAAAACACCATGCATTGCTTATAAATCAGAGATATTTTTTTCTCATAGCTCTGGAGGCTGAGACGTCACAGATCAAGATACTGGAAGATTTAGTGACTAGTGAGGACCTGATTTCTGGCTCATAGATGGCACCTTCTTGCTGTGTCCTCACGCAGCAGAAGGGGCGAGGAAGCTGTCTGGGGTCTCGTGTGCAGGGGCACTAATCCCATGTATGACCTAAACACCTACGAAAAGCCCCGCCTCTTAATACTGTGACATTGGGGATTAGGTTTCAATGCATGGAATTGGTGGGGGGCACACAAACATTCAGGCCCTACTGCTGACCATTGTCAGAGAGTTGTCCTTGTCATAGGACCCAGGAGTCCTGTCTCATCCAAGGCCTGAGTTAGCATAGAGAAGGCATCGTGGTTTCCAGACCTGAAGGCTGTTGCTCTTCATAGGAATGGACCATCCGTACCCCCGGCCTGGTTTCAAACATCACATGACACATCGTGACCAAGCTATTTACAACTAGGTGATCAAAGAGCCCTTCCCCATGGCAACAGTTCACAGTCCTTTTCTGGTTCACAAGCACCCATCGCCATGACAACACACATCCCAGGCCAAGCCAAGGGCATGTTCCGCAGAGAGCAACGCCATCTTCCTGTGTGACCAGGCTTTGAGGATCCCTCGAGCCCAGCCTCCCTCTGCACCTGCTCATCACCTGCCACACTTTCTGGCCTCGACACCATCTGTTTCCACCCTCAAGTCCCCTGGCTTGGGTCACAGGGTCTCATCAAGGTCACCAATGGCTCTGGTCCCCACACCCACGCCAGCTGAGCACCAACTCCCTCCTTTGGGGAGGCCTTTATTTTAAAATTTCCAAACAACCATAAACATTCTCTGATTGGTATAATGCATTTACGCTCTGTTTGATGGACAGCCCACACATGCTATTTTTCTTTCCAAAAATACTTGAGCTGTGCCAATTGTTTATTACAGTGAACTTCAAAAATGAAAAATACTGTATGTGAATCAACACGGCATAATTACCCAGTAGGTTTTTCATGACCAACTCTGTACTCAGACATGCTAGCTGAACGTTTCAGATTTTCCAAGTTTTAAGATGACTCTATTTCATCAGTGACAGACTCAGCCCCAAGGTACTAGAGGCTGAAACAAGGGCTGAGGCTCAGGAAGGCAGGTGAGGTCAGGGCTGGGGCTCCGGGGACATCGGATGGGGCAGGTGAGGCCTGGTGTGCCTGGGTGAGGCCCGGCCAGAGGCCACCAGACAGCCTGTCACAGTGCATGTGCTGCTTCTTGCACCTCTGTCCTCTGCCACTTTGCTATCCTTCGATACACGGCCACCTTTCCTCCTCCGGTTACGCCCCAGGAGGTGGCACTGCCAGAAATCATCCCCTAGTTGGCCTTCGTGTCCACACCCTCAAATGCCCCCCAGCACCCAGCAGGCACCTCCAGCTCATGACTGTTGTAATGTGCTTGATGCATTTATTAATACAGCACATCCACCCCATGCACATCCAGTGTCTGCCCCTCCTCCAGCTGAAAGCTCCGTGAAGGCAGGAACCGGCCTTTCCAGCCTGGGGGCTCCTCGGATCTCACACAGGGCACCCCACAAAGTGGGTATTGCAGCACCCTGGCAGTCGCCGGCAGCTTCAGACACAGGACATCTGCAATCAGCATTTGGTCACAGGACACAAAGGTCAGATAGGCAGAATTTTAAGGGACTCAGTGGCCTCTGAGAGAGCAGAGCTCCTCAGCCCGGGCACAGGCACGAAGGCAAAAAAGAGGGAGGACGTGAGTGTCAGTGGGTCTAGCTGGGGCAAGTCCAGGCCAGCCTGAGCCTTGCAAAGGCTTTCTTTCTAGCTCCTCGGCTTTTTATTCTACAAACACTCGTAGCTACAGAAAAGGCGAGAGACACGTGCACACCCAGATACAGCCTCCACTGGCTTCACAGCTGTTAACAGTTTGCTGTATTTGCTCTTTGGCCTCTCCTTCGTATATATAGATAAGACAGATAGATATATATATAATATTTCTGTGTGTGCATACACAGTCATGCGCCACATAACGACGTTTCAGCCAACATCAAGTATACTGCGGTGGTCACATAAGATCAGAATGGAGCTGGAACATTCCTCTCGCCTAGTGGTTCATGTTACAGTCGCCTACAGGGTTCAGTGCAGTAACGCGCTGTGCAGGTTTGTAGCCCGGGAGCAATAGGCAGACCAGAGAGCCAGCGTGTGTAGGAGGCTACACCGTGTAGGTTACAGTAAGTGCACCCTATGATGTGGTAACTGATGACAAAATCGCCTAACAATGCATTTCTCAGAATGTATCCCCGTTGTTAAGTAACACATGACTGTATATGTATACACACACACACACACATATATATATATATACAACGTACTTTTTTCCTTTCTCTCCTCCTTGAAAGGCAGTTGAAAGCAGATGCCGGGGAACATGGGAAGAGCTCGTTTCCCCTTTTGAAAGCACGTTCTTGCTCATCACTCATCGCCTCCATGGTCCTCAGACGTGGGCAGGGTGGGCACATGACTAATCTCATGCACACCAGAAAACTGTGCCCAGCAGTTCCAGAGAGGAACTTCCTGCAGCCCCATGGGGGTCAGTGGCAGAGCTGGGAATCAGCCCCAGGTCCCCTGACCAAAAGCAGGACTCTCTCTTTTCCTTTTTTCTAATCTCCATTGAATTTGGGATCTGCAGGAGCAAAGGATTCGTTTTATTTCTCAGTTTGTGGCACATTTCATGATTGCTCTGCACAAGCCCCCTCCCCACTCTGCACAAGGCCCTTCCTCCCTCCCTCCCTGACTTCGTTCTTTCTTTCCTCCCTCCCTCCCTTCCTTCCTTCCTTCCTTCCTTCCTTCCTTCCTTCCTTCCTTCCTTCCTTCCTTCCTTCCTTCATTTCTTCCTTCCTTCCTTTTTCTCTTTCCAACATGGTCTCACTCTGTTGCCCAGGCTGGAGTACAGTGGCATCATCATAGCTCACTGCAGCTTCCAGCTCCTGGGCTCAAGTGATCCCCCTGCCTCAACCCTCCCCCCACCGCCCTGAGTAGCTGGAACTACAGGCAAGCATCACCATGCCTGGCTCATTTATTTAATTTTTTGTAGAGATGGAGTTCCTGCTAATTTGCCCAGGCTGGTCTTCAACCCCTAGCCTCAAATGATCCTCCTGCCTCAGCCTCTCAAAGTGCTGGAATTACAGGCATGAGCCATCATACCCGGCCAGGATTTATTTTGTTTTTTGTCCTCATCTCCGTCCCACTCATGGTCTGTCCTCCAGGCACCTACTCCAGCCCACCTGGTGTATGTGTTTGTATCAGTCACCTGTGGCTGCATGACAAATTACCTCAGAACTGGCAGCTTAAAATAATACACATTTGTCATCTCAGTGACTCTGAGGGTCAGGAAGCTGGGGACAGTTTAGCTGGGTGGTCACTCAGGGGCTGTCACAAGGTTGCAGTCAAACAGTCGGCCAAGGCTGCAGTCATCTGAAGGCTCACCTGGGGCTGGAAGGGCCATTTCTATGATGGCTCACTCAAGTGGCTCTTGGCTGTCCGAGTGTCCACACGACATGGCAGCTGGCATCCTCCAGAGTGAGTGATCCAAGAGAGAGAAAGCCGTGGAAGCATTGCATCTTTTATGATCCAGCCTTGGAAGCAACAAACCATCACTTCTGTGGAATTCTATTGGTCACCCAGACCACACCCCCCACACAGTGTGGGAGGGGCCTACCCCAGGGCGTGACTAGCAGGAACCAGGACCGGCAGGGTCACGTCAGAGGCTGGTTGCTACAGTCCTGGAATATGTGTGTCATCTTGCAAAATTGGTAAGGTTGTTTGGGTGTCTCTGGGTTTTGTGCTGCAGGCTTCATTCTGTTTTTTACGTTTTTCACTGAACACCATTTTTTTTTTTTTTATTTGAGACAGAGTCTCGCTTTGTTGCCTAGGCTAGAGTGAGTGCCATGGCGTCAGCCTAGCTCACAGCAACCTCAAACTCCTGGGCTCAAGCGATCCTTCTGCCTCAGCCTCCCAAGTAGCTGGGACTACAGGCATGAACCACCATGCCCGGCTAATTTTTTCTATATATATTAGTTGGCCAATTAGTTTCTTTCTATTTATAGTAGAGACGGGGTCTCGCTCTTGCTCAGGCTGGTTTCGAACTCCCGACCTCGAGCAATTCGCCTGCCTCGGCCTCCCAGAGTGCTAGGATTACAGGCGTGAGCCACCGCGCCCGGCCTCACTGAACACCATTTAAGCTCCATTGTGCATACATTGAATCAGTTGCTTCTCTGATAAAATTTCATACTGAACATGCTCTACATATCACAGTTCTATCCCCCGGGGATGTTCTCGTGTCCCTGTGCCACACACAGCCCTGCAGAAAGCATCTCCACGCAAGTCTCCTTAAGGACATGTAGAAAGATTTCTCTGGGACTTTTATCCAGGAGTAAGACAGCTAAGTGACCGGGCACATGCACACAGTCTTGCTAAATACTGCCAACCTGGTTTCTAGCAGGGAAGTACGAGGTTACCTCCCCAGCAGTAACACATACATGACAGTTCCTGTTTCCCCACCTCCTCCTCAGTACTGTCATCCAACTTTCTAATTTCTACCAATCCAATGGAAATAAAGCAGTATCTTGTTTTTAGTTTTCATTTCTCAGCTTTCTAGGGAGATTAAACATCTCATGATATATGTGCCAAGCATTTGAGTTTATATTTCCATGACTTTTCTGTTCAGAACTATCTTTAAATGGGATTTTAGGCCTTTTTCTTATAGGAGTTCCCCGAGTCAGACTCACCGTGAAGCTTAAACCTCAGGTGTCCGGACCTGCGTGGGGCACAGAGCAGTGGGACAGGGCGAGGGTTGGAGACAGGCCTATTCGCGCATGAGAACGTCATACATAAAAGTGGCCCCGCAAGCAATGGAGGGGGGGCGTGGATTGTTAAACAGGACATGTAAAGCGGGACCCTTGCCCGACCCCTACAGGAGCACTGTCACTGTCTTTCTATGGTCATGCACGGTCCTTTTCTTTCTTTCTCTTTCTAAAGCATTTTTGATTTTTTAAATTTCTTGTTAATTTTAATTTTTTGAGATAGTCTTGCTCTGTCTCCCCAGCTAGAGTGCAGTGGCGTCATCGTAGCTCACAGCAACTTTACAACGTGTTTTATTCTGTCACAATTGTAAGTCACTGGTTAATTTGTCATTCTTTGGACAAAGCCTCTTTTCTCCATGAAACTGTAACTTCACAGGGGCAGGGGTTGGGTCTGTTCACTTCCGACACTGTATCTCCAGCACTGGCCCTGGGTCAGCCACAATAGTTGTGCCCAACAGTAATGGTTTTTTTTTTTTTTTTTTTGAGACAGAGTCTCACTTTTTGCCCAGCTAGAGTGAGTGCCATGGTGTCAGCCTAGCTCACAGCAACCTCAAACTCCTGGGCTCAAGCGATCCTGCTGCCTCAGCCTCCCAAGTAGCTGGGACTACAGGCATGTGCCACCATGCCCGGCTAATTTTTTCTATATATATTAGTTGGTCAATTAATTTCTTTCTATTTATAGTAGAGATGGGATCTCGCTCTTGCTCAGGCTGGTTTCAAACTCCTAACCTTGAGCAATCCGCCTGCCTAGGTCTCCCAGAGCGCTAGGATTACAGGCGTGAGCCACCGTGCCTGGCCCCAACAGTTATTTTTGACAGATATTAGGGACACCTCCTGCATGTCTGGCCAGGTGGCCCCTGGGTGCCACCTTGTCTCAGTATCAGGCTGAATGTCACAGCTTCCAGGCAGAAACCAGCTTCCCTGCTGGGTCCCATCTTCCTGACCCAGATGTCCCCGCCCAGCTCAGAAGTCCTAGCTTGAGAGAAGGACTCCATGGCTCTAAGTTTTCCTGCATTCCTGAAGCCTTCTGTGCTGAAGCCTAAGTCAGGGGACTGGGAGTGGAGCCCAAGTCCCACCAGGCACCCCAGTTCCCCAGCACCGACCCTGAGAGCAGCTGGGTGGGGTGTTCATGGGAGACACTGTCCCCCAAGGCCTGGCTTATGCCCACCTTGCCACTGAAGGTCTTCCTAAACCCAGTCTGTGGGTTTAGAATGTGCACCAATGCACATCCCTGCATTGCCCAGCTCCTTGGGGTGGCATTCAGGGCCTTCCACACTTTGCCCTACAGGTATGCCACCACACCCTGCTAATTTTTCTATTTTTTGTAGAGGCGGGGTCTCGCTCTTGCTTAGGCTGGTCTTGAATTCCTGAGCTCAAGGGATCCTCCCACCTCGGCCTCCCAGAGTGCTGGGATTATAGGCATGAGCCACCATGCCTGGCCAACTTCACCCTCTCGAACCCCAGTTCCATACCCCCTTCACCCCGGCCAGCTGAGCCACTTGATAAACTCTCTGTGCTGTCTGACTCACTTGCCTTCCTCTCCCCACCCTCAGCCCAGGCTGCAGCTCAGACGCCCTGCTGTCTCACCTGGGCTTCCCCAACCCGCCCACCTGTGTAGCCCCGTCATAGCTCCTCCCCCTGCACTGCACTTTCTAGGCCAGATCCCTCGCGGCCTCCAGCCTTGCCTGGCAGAGACCCCCCACCACCCTCCCATGGAAGAGGCACCCACAGAAGTCTGATGATCTCAGCCCCGAGGTTCCATGAAGCCTTCTTGGGGCCTTTGAGCCACTTGTGCTGGGGAAGGGAGGGCGGGGCAGGAGGAGGGAGGGAGAGGCCAGATGATTAATGGGATGAGTAATGGGACAGTCTCTCTGTCCCTCAGGGGGACAAGTCAGGGGGAAGAATGGTTGTCAAGGGCAACACATTCTTTCCCATGGCTACCTGGGTCTGCTTCACCCACAGGGAGTGGGAGGGGGTTCCGGGGAGGTTGGAGCACAGCGTGAGCCCAGAAATCTTCCCGGTTCAACACCTGCTTTGCTGAGGGGAAACTGAGACCAGGAAGACAGGCAGACAGCCTGGTGGGGCTCACACGGCAGATGAAGCTAAGGGAGGATCCTGGGCTCCCGGGAGTCAGGGACACCCAGGCTGGGAGCAGTAAGGGGGGTGGAAGGAGAGGGGCCCCTCTAGGACATGCAGGGAGGAGGCAGGGCGAGGAGGCCAGGGCCAGAGCGTAAGCAGGCTCCAGCCTGCACTGGCCCGAGTTCATCATGAAGCCCTCAACCTGCTCAGCTGTCACCCCAGGACCTGTTCTGCCTCTCAGCTTTTGTGCATCAGGTTCCTTCTGCCTGGAAGGTCCTGGCCCTCTTTGCCTGTGGCTGTCAGTTAACCGCAGTTTCCATCACTGACACCCGCCCTGTCAGTGATCACTGACAGTGATCACCCGCCCTCCATGATCACTCATTCCCCCACAGGCTGTCATGGGGGTACATTAGTCAGCTGCGGCCACCATAGCAAAATACCACAGACGGGGTGGCTACAACAACAGACGTTTATGTCCTCCCAGGTCTGGAGGCGGGAGGTCCCAGATCAAGGTACCAGCAGGTCTGGTTCCTCCTGAGGCCAATCTCCTATGGTTGGTTTGTAGACAGCCATCCTCTTGCTGCCTCTACCCGTGACCTTTCCTCTGTGCACGTGTGTCCGTGTCTCTTCTTACTAGGACCCCAGATTGGATGAGGACCCCCCACCCTGATGGCCTCATTTTAACTCGGTCACTGCTTCAAAGGCTGTCTCTAAACAATCACGTTCTGAGAGGTTCTGGGGTTAGGACTTTGACACAGGAGTTTTGAGAGGACAGGATTCAGGCTGTAATGGTGGGTATGCCTCCCCATGAGCAGGGTGCTCTCTAAGGACAGGGACAGGATCTGAGCCTTCTGCTGCTCCCATGGGGTCTCGGGGCGGGGGCTCCAGGCCTGCCATCCTGCCAGTAGTGGGTGCTGCAGGGGAGGGCACAGTCGCATGTGCAGAGGGAGTAGTCAGGTGTGGCCCTCGGCTCCTGTTTCCTGCCAGCTCCTCCCGAGAAGGTGGTGCCACCCGCCCTCAACCACAGGCCGGGCAGCTTCCCAGGACCCTGCGGGCAGGGATGAGAGGGGCTCCAGGGAGGCCACTGGCTGGGCTGTTGGTGTTCGCCACCTGGCAGGGTGGCCAGGAGCTGGAGACACCCACTCTGTGCTCTACCTGTGACCCCATATGGACAGTGAGGAGGGCTGAGCTCTCCAGAGCATAGAGGACAGAGCAAGTGCAAAGACCCTGTGGCAGGAGGGGTAAACAACAGTCTGTGTGGCTGGAATACAGAAGAGCAATGGGTAGATCATGGAAGGATCTAGATTCTGTTCTTGCAGCACGAAAGCCCTGCGAGTTGTGAGCAGAGGTGTGACTCGGTCAGGTTTATAACCTGGTCCCTCAGGATGAGAGTCAGGAACAGAAGGGGGGACCCAGTGAGAGGCAGCTGCTGCCATCCCAGCGAGAGACCAAGGCCATCAGCTTGGGGCTGCGTGGACGGTGGGGAGAAACAGTGGTCAGAGACACCGGGGAGCGGAAGTGAATGCAGAAGTGAGAGCAAAGGACGGGCGTTGCCAGCTGCCTGTTTCCACCTGCTGCCAACCTGATTCCGTCGATTTCTGCCCTGATGAATCATCCGCAAGTCATCACCCCACAACAGTGCTGCTTTTCCCTTTTAACAATGAACTTGTTTTTAACCGCAGAGCCATTATGTTGCAGGCCAATGGATTTCGTGGCACGTCCCCATTTACAGTCCTGGGGAAATTTTAAAACACCTTTTAATAAAAGATTCTTCACACAGTGATTCTACCCACGAGCTCTTCTCAGGACTGTCACGAGCCGGCCCATGTGGGGCTGGGGGCTGGCTGATGACTCTCTTGAGTGTGGCTGTGGGGCAGAACACCATGGCATGGGCCCAGTGTGCCCATGGCCGTGCAGGGCGGTGACTGTGGATTCTGTGACACCTTGGCGTGGTAGCCAGCACAGCCTAGGGCAGAAGCCACAGCCAGGCACCTCTCGAGGTGACTCCGGCTGACCCAGGGTAGGCTTCACAGAATATTAACAATTTGTTAACGTTCTGTGGAACACACCTGCTGTTAAGGTGATGTCCCCAGAACCCCTTTTCCTGGGGAGCTGCTATAAAGCAGGTGAGGTGGCACGCCTACTTGCATAGCATGGAGGGCCTGGATTTCACATTTCCACCCAGGCCTGCAGCAGAAGCCTCATCTCCCAACCCCATGGCCACCTCCCAGATATCTCTGGAACCCACCCCTTCCTCTCCCACCCCTGTTGTCTGCCCTGGTCCAGGCCTGGTTCCTCCCAGTCCCCTGGTCACCCATCGTGCCACCCAAAGCACTCAAGTACTGATGTTGGAGACATCTATCCATCGATTTAGGACTCGTACTTTCAACAGCAGGCTTAGCATTTTCACTCCTTGCACCCCAACTTCACCCCATCTCAGCGGGAAGCAGCCGGATAGATCAACGCTCTGATTCCCCAAGATTGAGGAATGGACAAAGAAGGGAGAGTTGTAATCAGATCCATGAACAAACACAAAGTGGCCCCCGCCTATATATGTTCTCCTTGTAGCTTTCCTATGTTTGTAATTCCCAGGCCAGTAGGGGCTGTTGATCAGAACATTACAATCTTTCTGTTTAGCTAACCTTTTTACCTTTTGAGTTATTTCCAAGAATTGGCAAATTCTCCACAGGTAACAATGTTGAGAGTCGCCATTCATCACTAACTTGTGACTTCTGAATTAGACTCCTGAGCACCTTGATTTCAACACAACCTGCCCTAAAGCAAGGAGCTGCCTTCCTGAACCCATTATAAAAACCCTTACCCTCTAGGCTGGGCGCGGTGGCTCACACCTGTAATCTTAGTACTCTGGGAGGCCAAGGTAGGAGGATTGCTCGAGGCCAGGACTTTGAGACCAGCCTGAGCAAAAGCAAGACCCTGTCTCTACTAAAAATAGTAAAAATTAGCCGGGCATAGTGGCACGTGCCTGTAATCCCAGCTACTCGGGAAGCTGAGGCAGGAGGATCACTTGAGCCCAGGAGTTTGAGGTTGCAGTGAGCTATGATGGCACCACTGCACTCTAGCCAGGATGACAGAATGAGACTCTGTCTCAAAAAAGAAAGAAACAAAGAAAAGAAAAGACATCCCTATGCTCAGTTGGTCAGAGAGATGGATTTGAGGCATTCTCCCATCTTCTGGCTGGCGTCATCTGTAATAAATTCCCTTCCAATCTTGGCAATCCTCGTTGCCTCAGTAATTGGCTTTCTGTGTGGTGAGCAACCTGCCCTAGGCCAGAACCCCCTTGTGGGTTTGGTAACCAATCTTGGTGGCCCACATGGGGTTGGTTGCTTGTGGCTTAGTGGCCGGCCATGGTTAGCTTCCAGCAGGTCCCTGACTGCCTTGGAAGCATGAATTCCGGGGTCTTGGCATCTGCGTCCCGGTGGGCCAGTGCCATTTGGGGGCACTACACAACACCTCTCTCAATCTGGGGGACTCCAAGGCGATTCCTGTTGAATTTGGGGTTGGAAAAGCCCCAATTGGTTGAAAGAGTGGGAACCGCTCTGACCATTTCCATCTAGCCCACCCCAGGCGCATTTGTTGGAACTGCGGCCCACTTGTTTGCCTTTTTGTGGGTGTCGAATGGTTGTGTGAGTGGTTGTGTGTGTGGCCATGCCAAAACAGAATTCAATCCCTGAGGGTAGCCTTTTGGGCTGAATAGTTAGTAGCTCATGAAGAAAAAGAAAATGGTATTTTTCTGTAATGCTGTCTGGCCACAATACTCTCTTGGGTCTGGGGAAACTTAGTCCCATAATGGATCACTAAACTATAACATTGTTCTCCGCTGATATTTATTCTGTCACCGTGCTGGGAAATGCGACAAAGTCCCTTACGTACAGTCTTTTATGCTTCTTTATCCAAACAAGCAGGCCAGATTCAATGTGAGATTCTATTCTATTAATAGCACAGAGGACAGAAGACTTCAAAAAGGTTGGAGAGGCCGGGCGTGGTGGCTCACGCCTGTAATCCTCCTAGCACTCTGGAAGGCCAAGGCAGGTGGCTTGCTCAAGGTCAGGAGTTCGAAACCAGCATGAGCAAGAGCAAGACACTGTCTCTACTATAAATAGAAAGAAATTAATTGGCCAAGTAATATATATAGAAAAAATTAGCTGGGCATGGTGGCGCATGCCTGTAGTCCCAGCTACTCGGGAGGCTGAGGCAGCAGGATCACTTGAGCCCAGGAGTTTGAGGTTGCTGCGAGCTAGGCTGACACCACTGCACTCACTCTAGCCTGGGCAACAAAGCAAGACTCTGGAGGAGCATTCTTAATCTGAAGAGGCTGCCACCCGGCTCCAGCCCCAAGCACACCACTCCTTCCGGGAATCCCTCTCTTTTATCTTTTTTTCTTTTTGAGATAGAGTCTCACTCTGTTGCCCAGGTTAGAGTGCTATGGCATCGGCCTAGCTCACAGCAACCTCAAACTCCTGGGCTCAAGTGATTCTCCTTAGCCTCCCGAGTAGCTGGGGCTACAGGCATGCGCCACCATGCCCGGCTAATTTTTTCTATATATTTTTAGGTGGCCAGCTAATTTCTTTCTATTTTTAGTAGAGACGGGGGTCTCACTCTTGCTCAGGCTGATCTCGAACTCCTGAGCTCAAAGGATCTGCCTGCCTCGGCCTCCCAGAGTGCTAGGATTATAGGCATGAGCCACCGCCCTCAGCCCAGGAATCCCTTTCTTATCTCTCCTGTGAGCGGGGACCCCTATTTCACCCTGTTGGCTCCTCCACCATCTCTTCTTAACTCTCCTTTTTCTGAGGACAGTCCTGGGAGGCATCACGACATAGTCTCTCCCTTGTGCACTGTTGGGGTACACAGTTTGGCCGGCTCCTCCCTCCCTCTCAGCAGGGAGATTTCCTCCAAGACAGGGTCCTCTAGGAGGACTGAATGAAAATGCACAACTGGGAGGATTGATGTGGGCTTCCAGCCCATCCACCCCTTCTGATTTATGGAGCTGGACACAGAAGAATCCTGCCCATAGGGACAACCTAAAGTGTACAAGTGATCTGTTTGGGTCTCTTTCCACCTCGCATGGCCCCACTGGGGCAGATGTCCTCCTTTGCTTGGAAGAACAGTTCATTAGTTTAAATCTCTCAGACCCTTGCTTCTTCTGCTAATCTACCCACATGCTGGATACACTACCTAAAATCCCAGTCAGTCCTACACCATCATGATCCCCTCACTCAATTGGTGTATAACTTTTTCTGATGTCCCCAAATGTACCTTTGAACACGTCTGAAATAAAAAAATAATTGAATGCTGAGTAAGACTCACGTGGTCAACGACTGGGACTCAAAAGCCCCCTCATTTCTTCTTAGCCTCCTGATGGGGACATCTGGTCCCTACAAACCCTCAGAATCAGACTGATGGGAAACAAATATATTTCCCTAATAGGGATCTGGATAACACGCCCTATAGCCAAAATGTTAGACTCCTGGGACAGATCACCCCTAGAGGTCTGTGACTTGGCCACCCTAGACCCTTGGTTAGAAGAAATAGCTCTGCAAGCTTATCAGCCATGTGACTTTATGACTTGTGTCCTGAAGGGATATGTTTTTGTATGTCAACAAGGAGAGCCTTGGAGAGCCTTAAATGCACATGCATTAAAAAGGGAGATGATGGCCAATGTTTATTAAGCTATTCTACTGCTCCTTTCTCTGTACATGATGACTCAGATACCAACTGGGCCCCTTCTATAAAATTGTTTTCATGGGCTACTAGGGGAATTTTGGATGGAGAGTCCATCTGGGGAACACTAGGCCAGTATCTCCTGGGAAGGATCCTAGATGGGGATGGATATTTCTTTGGGTTTACCTTACTGCCATGGTGGGTGGTGGCTGATCAACAACCTATCCATAACCTTGATGACAATTGCTAATGAAACTGTAGCTATGATAGCTGCCCAGCAAAAATCATTAGACTAGGCGGGGCATGGTGGCTCACGCCTGTAATCCTAGCACTCTGGGAGGCCGAGGCGGAGGATTGCTCAAGGTCAAGAGTTCGAGACCAGCCTGAACAAGAACAAGACCCCGTCTCTCCTAAAAATAGAAAGAAATTAGTTGGACAACTAAAAATATACAGAAAAAATTAGCCTGGCATGGTGGGGCATGCCTGTAATCCCAGCTACTTGAGAAGCTGAGGCAGGATTGCTTGAGCCCAGGAGTTTGAGGTTGCTGTGAGCTAGGCTGACACCATGGCACTCTAGCCCGGGCAACAGAGCAAGACTCTATCTCCAAAAAAAAAAAAAAAAAAAATCATTAGACATTTAGACTGAGTGGTTCTTGATAATTGCATAGCTCTTGCTTATATCTTAGCAGAACAAGGGGTGTTTGTGTTATAGGTAATTCCTCATGCTACAGGTATATAAATTCTTCAGCAGAAGTAAAAGCACATACTGCTAAAATCAGACTGCAGGCTTCTTGGATGCAACACCCAGGAAAGGATAGAGTAGGGCTGGAAGTTTGGTTCTCAGAATCTGAGAATTCTCAGACTGTTCACTCAGATTCCTTAAGAACTTTGCTCTGTTCTTTCTGGGATCCTAAAATTTGTTCTCTCCCTTTACTAATTATTTTTCTAATTTACCTGGTAGCAAATATATCAATCCAATGTGAGTTAAAATGTTGCTATAAAACAATAGACGAAAGCACTATGAAGATGTTGGAGACATCTAACCATCAACTTAGGACTTGTACTTTCAACAGCAGGCTCAGCATTTTCATTTCTCATACCCCAACTGCGCCCCATCTCAGCAGGAAGCAGACAGATTGATCAACGCTCTGATTCCCCAAGATTGAGGAAGGAAAAAAAAGAAGGGGGCAGCTGTAATCAGATCCATGAACAAACACAAAGTGCCCCCTCCCCCTCCCAGGCATCTATGTTCTCCCTGTAGCTTTCTTGTGTTTGGGATTCCCAGGCCAGTAGGGCTGGATGACCAAAATGTTGTAATCTTTCTGTTTAGCTGATCTGTTTACCTTGTGTTTTCTAGAAATGGCTTTTGGAATCCAGAAATGGATTCTTCACAGCTAACAGTGCTGAGACTCGCCATTCATCACTAACTTGTGACTTCTGGATCAGACTCCTGCACACCTTGATTTCAACACAACCTGCCCAAAGCATGTAGCTGCCTTCCTTAACCCATTATAAAAACTCTTGCCCAGGTTGAAAAGACAGATTTGAGGCAGTTCTTTTGTCTCCTGGCTGACATCAACCATACTAATTTCCCTTTCTTCCTTGGCAATCCCCGCTGTCTCAGTAATTGGTTTTCTGTGTGGTGAGCAAACAGACCTAGACCAGAACCCCTTTGTGGATATGGTAACACATGTGGTCTCTCTGAGGAGCTCCCTCTCCTGTCTCCTTCTTTCCTCCTCTGCTGACTGACTTCCACTTGCCCTTCCAGACTTAGCTTGGAAATCACCCCTAGGAAGCGCCCATGACCCTCAGTTGGGGCCAGAAGCCTCCCCTAGGCCCCCATGGCCCCTGGGCTATGATTTAGTCTTGACCCCATAGTGTTGCCATGTCTATTTGGAGGCAGTTTCCAAGGTCAGGCCCCAGGCAGCCCCAGGGGGTGAAAGCAGCTCCCCAATGAGGTCAGGAGGCTGTGCCAAATGGAGTGACAGCCACAGAAGGAGCCACTGGGGCTGTACCTGGGAGCAGCATGGATTCTGGCACTAAGAGCAAGTGCAGGAGGGACCCAGGTCACGAAAAAGTCTGTAGCAATGCCTGCTCCTAGCTGATTCTGGGCTCTGGAAACATTCATTCACATCTGCATTCAGCAAACACCAGGGGCCCCTCCTCCTCCCTGCCATATCCCTCCCTGGCCAGGCCCCTAGCTGGGTGTCTAGGGTGTGGACAAGACAGCATGAGATGACTCTGCTGGGGTAGCTTATGGGGGTGAGGATTTAACCCTCTCCCAATTCCAAGAGGCAGAAAGGGACCTGGGCTCCATAATGGAATTTAAAAGTGGCTGCCCAAAGGGCTGGCTCCCATGTCAGGATGTCCTCAGAGTATATGACTGAATCTGCTTCTGTCTACTCCTGCAAGGCATATTTTGGCTGGGAGAGGCGCAGGCAGGATCAGGGAGAGACCTCCAGGGAGGAGAGGTTTAAGGGCTTGAAGATAAAGTGCTTGCCTGGGAGGGAGCACTGATGAATCCACTTATACTGTGTTGGTAGTGGGCTTCCTGGCCCCAAGACATGTGAATGGGTCTCTCTGGGGCAGTTAGGAGATGGGGACACCCCAAAGTAGGCAGGGACACCAATCAAGGGACAGGCTCAGGGCAGCCCCAGAGCTGGGAGCAGAGGCTGAGCGGGGTGGCTGCACTCCCGGGAGCAATGCCCCTGTCCTAGTGCGGGCACCACTCCGGGCACAGTGAAGGAGCCAGACCACCTTTATTCACCTCCAAAGAGGGCTGCAGCCCAAAGGCCACCATCGGGTGCTCCCCGCAGGCAGGGCCTGCATGCTGGCAGTGTGGTCAGACCAGAGGACCTGGGAGGGCGGCCCAGGGGGACACGGAGTCCAGTGGCAGGCGACAGAGTGCGGCAGGCAAGTCACCGAGCCTCAGTTTCTCCATCTAGAGAATCGCTGTGGCTGTATGGATTGGACGGCACATAGTTGGCTTTCAGGCGGGAGCATGACTCACGCCTCTGGCTCGGCAGAAGGCGGCCTGGAGTCCTGACTTCTGCAGACCTTGTGCAGCGGCGCCAGCTCCAGACTTCAAGTAGCCCGGGGTGGGAGGGGCCAGGAATGGGAGCGCGCATGCGCTCGGGCCGTGCGACGGCCTAACTGCGGTGCTCTGGCGCCTCCGTGTGGCGATGATGGGAACCACCAGCCCTGTGAACAGATGGAGCTTGGGGTTCTGGAATGTATCCTTTCCGGTGACAGGGCCTCGGTGACAGGGGCTCGTGGGTCCCAGCGAGCACGAGCACATTGAGGTGACAGTCCAGGGTGCGACAGCCCCCCAACAACAGTAACAGGTCATATCTGGACATGCGGTCATCTGAGGTCCAGAGTGGTGAGCCACCCAAGGTCAGGACTAGCTATGCTTGAAGCCCCATGGCTAACACTGTGTGGCATACAGCAGGTGCTCAGTAAATGTTTGTGGAGTGGATAAGTGCATGAGCCATCCGTGTACATAAGGGGGTTAGAAGTGGTGGCCAGAATCAGTAGCAGACAGTCGTAACGTGCATCTGCACTGTCTGAGCTTCTGGCAGGTGGGTCCCCCTCATAAGGGGCTATGCCCAGGACAGAGGAGGTGCCTCTGAAGTCGTCACTCACTCAGCCTCAGCCACTGATGGGGACACAGGGACAGAAGGTGGCTCAGGCCTCATATGTCCCATGATAAGCCCAGCCCCCTGCATGGGACAGAGTAAGGTCCTCCACAAGCCTCCTCCTGGGGTCTGGAAGCTTCTATCCACTGCTCCAGCCTTGTTCGCAGGAGGTCAGGCAGAGCAGAGGTGGGGACAGCCCTCCCCCAAACTGTCCCACATGCAACCTTACAGGTGCTGGAGAGGGATAGAAACGGCCAAGCCAGAAGCCAGGCTGCTAAGGGGGATTGGGGCGGCCCCAGGCAGGACAAGGCTATGCTGGGGGAAGAGGCACACGGCTGGGGGACATGGGCGCAGGGCAGGGAATGAGGCTGTGCACTGGCTCCCCGCCTGCTGCCACCACCCCAGCCTCATGGGCCAGGCTAGGGGCTAAGGCTGGGCAGGGGGTCCAGGGCAGGCTCGCAGCCCACGGGCAGGGTAGCGGCCTCGCTGGGCGGGATGTGGTGCGTCATGTAGCGCTTCCCCATGAAGGAACCGATCCGCAGCTGCTCGGGGGCCTCCTCGGGCCACCACAGGCTGGAGCTAGACAGGGAGAGGAAGAAGAGGTGTGTGTCCCTGCCAGGTGGGGCAGCTGCCAGGTCAGGGCCTGCTCCCCTTCCCAGCTCCCTCATCTGCAGCCTCTGATCCCACCTTCCTCCCTTCTAGCACCAGCTGGAGGCCTGCCTCCTCCACGTGGCCACCCTAATTACGCTGGTGTCAGGTCACTAACTCGCCAGAGGGCCATGGGGAGAAGACAAGGCCCGGGAGGGAAGGGCCCTGGCCAAGGACACACGGAGGGACAGGCTGGATCGAGGCCACTCCTCCCTGAACCTGCTCTCAGGGGGCGCTGTGGGACCACCTCACTGACCCTGGAGGGGAGAGATACACAGTCCCTGGGAAGGGCACTGCTCAGCTCAAATGGCAGTGTGAGTGGAGGACTTCCAGGCTGGGGCCTGGGAGAGGGAAGGGGCTCTGTGTTGGCCAGGGGTTCTGGGGGCGTCACTACTCACAAGCGCACGGTGGAGGCTGCCAGGAAGGCCAAGAGCAGGAGGCCAGCCAGAGAAGAGAGGACGGAGGTGATGACGATCATGCCGCCACTTCGCCGCCCTGGCCACGTGTCGATGGAACCTGGGGCCTTCCCTGCACACACGGTGGCTGCTGGGAGACTGTCCCTGGACCCCAAGGCTGGCTGTCACCTCCTGCCCTCCCCCCACACACTCATACCTCAAGGTCTGGCCAATTCGTGTCCCCAGACAGGCCCCTGAACCCACTCATCTGTCTGTCTCAGAACAGGATAGCATCTGTGCTCTGCCAGCCTGGCTGGTCTCACCTTCTAGGCTGTTCCCACCATGTGCTCACCCACCCGCTGCCAGCACGTGGCAGGCAGGGTGCTGCAGGCCTCAGGACTGAGTGGGGCACTGCCTGGCTCCCTGGAGGCCAATAGTCAAGGCCTTCAGATGACAAGAGCCCCACCCCACAGCCCAGGTCTGTCTCCCAGGCAACCCCCACATTGGACACCCGACACTAGGTACATGCAGTTTCCTCAGCCTGGTGACTCATGCTCACCTTTTGGGCTCTGCTCAGAGAAACCTCCAGAACCCGCTGTCTTCCCTGCCAGCCTGGACTCTGGCTTCCATGCCCTTCTCCTCCCAGCCAGCAGGGGCTGGCACAGGCTTGGCCCCCCATGTTTCACAACAGGACACCCAAGGGTTGGCGAGCACTGGGGATGGGCAGAGCTGGTGCCCCTGGCGATGGGGCTGGCCCATGACAGTTGTGCAGAGGGTTTCCGGCCAGAGAGGCAGGTGAGTCCACGGCCCATGGAAGCCAGGGCGCCCCTCCCCGCAGTGATACCTTGGTGGAGAGTGATGTCCTCCGACCACCTGGTCTGGGCCTTGGGTGAGCCCCTGGTGTCCATCAGGAGGAACTTCACGCTGGAGGCAGGAGGCAGTTGGGGAGGCGGGGTGAGGGTCAGACACTCAACTGCCCCAGGCAGGCAACCCCCTGTGGCCAGGCCCCAGGGAATGACCTGCCAGCCCTGCTCTGAAACCCTCGGAGACCCTTCCAGCCAGATGACCTGCACCAGAAGCCCCAGTCCACCAGGGCAGTCCCTCCTCAGACACTCAATCTGGGCTGGGCATGCTGGTTTAGTGGCCCTTTACTAAACGTCACGTATACAATGAGCAGGGTGAGGTAGCCCTGCAGGTCACATGGCGAGGAGGGGCCCCAGGTCTCCCAGACAAGCAGCACTGGCCAAGAGGGGTTTTTGAGACCACAGGAGAGTGAGCCCCCCCCCCATGGGGAAGGACATGGCAAAGGGCCAGTGGGGAGTGGGGGACAGGGAGGGAGGCTGTGCTCAGTCACTGAGAGGCAGGGTCCCAGCACCAAGAACGTGGGAGGCAGGAGCCCTGGGAGGTGTGAGCACAGTGAGGGACACAGCAGGCTGGCACTGGTGCTGGTGGCTGCCGAGGACAGGGTAGGGCGGGGCTGGAACAGAGCCAGGGTGTAGCACAGGAGGGAGAGGGACGAGGAGGGTGGGTGAGAGGGCAGAGAGGGGCAGGGGCTCTGAGTTTCCAGCCACACCCACCCTGCATTCCTGCTCCCCCTAGGCCCTGACCCCTGAGGACACCTGGCCTCCTCCTGTGGCCAGACAGTTGTGATCTGGACACTGGGGGCGACACCTGCTTTCCCCTCCCGGCTCCACCCCAACCTTGACAGGCCACTTGGCACTCTGTGACTCAGTTTCTCCATCTGTAAAAGGTGGTGGGAGCCATCTCTCCTGCTCTCTCTCTCACATCCCCTGGACTGGGTCTGCACCCAGCCCCCAGGCCATTTCCTGACTGCAGCTTTAAGTCCCCTCCCACCTTGACTAAGTTACCATCTCTCCTGGTACCCGCCCCCACCTCCTGGGCCTTGGGCCCCACTGACCCACCGGTAAGGTCCAGGGCTGGGGAGGGGGGCGTTGCAGTAGAGCGGCTGGTGGCAGCCATGGTCATTGCCCACCCGCAGCAGAGGGGCACCTCCACTGCCCCCCGTGGGGTCCTCACAGGGCAGCTGGTCCAGGGACAGGGGCAGCGTCATGTAGTAGCCGTCAGTCGGCAGCTGTGGGGAGGCCGGGATCTCAGCCAGGGTCTGCGGGTTCTGGAAGGCCCTGGAGGCTGCGGGACAGAGGAGCAGATAGATGGGTATGTAGCAGGGAGATGGGCCTTGTCATGCCGACTGGGTGCCTGTGTTCACCACCCTCCAGCCCTGACCCCCCCATCACCGGCTCTTTCGGGACCCCCCAGACACAGTCCGGACACAAATCAGACTTGGTCACCCTCTAAGAGTCCCATCGGGTTGGAGCCCAATCCACACCCACCCAGCAGACCTAACAACTACAGGTGCTAGTGAGAGACTCTAGGGCCACCGCGCCCCACATCCCCCATACTCACTGGGCCCTAGAGCAGCCCCTTACCATTGCTGAGGGCCACCACCAGCCAGACAGTGTCTCCGGCACTGGCATGTCCATCAAGAACACAGCGAGGCTGCTCCAGGGAGAAGGTGGTGGCAGTGACCTTCCCTTCCAGGTCCCAGGCTGTTATCTGCGGCGTGTAGGGGATCAGCTCTGTGGGCACAGGGCACAAGGGTGAGCGGTGGGGGCCTTGGAGACAGGTATGAGAGGCCGGCTGCTGCCCCTGGGACTGCCTCCCCCTGTCGCAGACGGCCCACTCCAGCAGGTGCCCCAGCCCCTTGGGTCTGGCCAGGCACATCCATCCTGGACCCCACTCACCTAGGCCCTGGCTGGGCCCAAGACAGCTCAGCACCACGAGGAGGACGAGGAGGAGCACCAGCCCCAGGACAGGCTGCCTCGGGAGGAGCCCCATGCCACCAGCCTGTATCCCTGAGGTCAGAGGCTGGTCTGTGCCTAGGGCTGCACCCCACCCCCAGCCTGGATGAGCTGGTTAGTCAGGCTGCCAGCTGGAAAGACCTGTAAAGCTCTCCCCACCCTCCCTGCAGTCCAGTCCAGCTAGTCACAGGGAGGGAGCTGGGTGGGCTCTGGTGTGGGGCAGGCCCGTGCCTGGCTCCACCACCAGGGCCAGGGCTGAGAGCCAGCAGCCACTGGACCCTCAGATGCCCACCAGGCCACTCCAGGGTCTAACATTGGGATTGGGGTCCTCTCAGCCTCCCATCCCTGGGGAGGACGCCCAGCCTCTGGAAACATGGGCTCAGGGCCACATGCCTGAGATTCTTGCCCCCCAGGTGCCAGGAGCCTCCCCCTGGCCTTCCCTCACCACCCAGGGCAGCCCCACCTTCCTGGCTCCAGCCCTGCTGGCCCTGCCCTCACAAGGCCACATCGTCCCTGCTCACAGCCTGCTCCCTTGTACAAAGGAGGAACCTGGACTCGGAGGAAGGACTGCAGAGCCTGAGAGCCGACCAGCCCTCCACGCACACTAGCACTACGTGGACTTTTGAGATATAACTCACAGACCATAAAATTCACAGCTTAGAGGATTCTAGTACATCGTTGTGCAAACATCACCACTAATTGAACCTTTCCATCCCTCCAAAAGGAAACCCTGCACCCTTTAGTCACTCCCCATCCCTTGCACCCCCTCAGCAACTATACTGTCTCCATGGGTTTGCCTATAATGGGGGGGGGGCATTTCGTAGAAAGGAATCACACAATGGAACATTTTGTGTCCGGCTTTTTACTGAGCACGTGTTCAAGGTGTGTCCATACTGTAGCTTCTGTCAGTGCTTCGTTCTCCTTAATGCCGGAGTAACATTCCACTGTGTGGACAGACCACACTTTTGAGCCATCAGCCAACAGATATTTGGGTGGTTTCCATCTTTTAGCTATGATGATGTCGCCATGAGCACCTCTGTACATGTGGTTTGCGAGTGGACAAGTTTCCAGTTTCCAGTTCTCTTGGGTCTATACCTAGGAGTGGAATTGCTGAGTCACATGCTATTTTCTAAAGAACTGTTTTCCAAAGCGGCTGCAGGCTGCATTTTACAGGGTCCAATTTCTCCACTTCCTCTCCACAGTGGTTATTTTATGATCGCTTGAAGCCAGTTCAAGGCTGCAGTCAGCTATGATGACATCACTGCACCCAAGCTGGGTGACAGTGAGAGCCTATCTCTAAAATATATACGTATGTTCTGGGTCCCATACCTTTACCTAGTATGTGACTTGTGAGCATTTTCTCCTATCCCGATTGTCAGTACCTCTTAATGGGGACACACCGAGGCCTGGGGGCCTAGAAGGGCAGCAGCCTCTCATGCTCAGAGGCTGTGTGAGCTGGCGGGCGAGTCTCAAATGTGGAAGCAAACAGGTGTAGGGGCCAGCCAAGCTAGGGTCCTCTATTAAGGCCTTACTGCCTTTTCCCCAGGACCAATTTAACACTAGACACAATGCCACAGGCCCACAATACTTGCAGGAGCCCATGAAAGTGTTTTTGCTTTAAGGTGAGAAGGAAAAAAGTGAACTTTTACATGAAAGAAAATGAAAATGTGTTTATCTCTTTTTTTGAGACAATCTCACTGTCACAGCTAAAACACATGGTGTTTTAGTGGTGTCATGATAGCTCACTGCAACCTCAAACTCCTCAGCTCCAGCTATCCTACATCAGCCTCCCAAGTAGCTGGGTCTACAAGTGTATGCCACCACACCTGGCTAATTTATCTATATTTTAGTAGAGACAGGGCCCCTAATTTGTCTATTTTTAGAAGAGACAGGTCCGTTCTTACTCATGCTGGCCTCCAACTCCTGAGCTCAAGCGATCCTCCCAATTCAGCATCCCAGAGTGCTAGGATGACAGGTGTGAGCCACCCCACCCAGCCCTATGTTTATCTTTATACCAACATATTATAAACAGAAGTTATTTTTAATGGAGAAATGGGCTCACAAAGGCAAAAGTGCCTCTGGCCATGACTGTCACACTGTGGCTCTGATCCCTCCTGCCCCAGGCCAGTACTCTACAGGGCAGGCAGCAAGGTCTTGACTGGGGGCAGAACTAGAACTTGGAGGGTTAGCATCAGACCAACCCTGCCCCAGATTCCAGCCCTGGCTCTACCACCTAATTAGCCTTGGACCCTCGGGCCACTCAACTGCACCTTTGAGCCTCAGTTTCCTTATCCATAAAACGGAGACAGCAGCACCCACCCTGTGTGTAAGGCATTTGGAAAGCAGAACCCTGGGGACACAAATGTAGGGGCTGCACTGGGATGTCAGGGTGGTGACTGCAGACTGCAGGAGAATCCGCATGAGGGCTCCTCAGCCCCACTGAGGCATGTTTCTGCATTCATCACATGGGGTGCAATGGGGCTTCCTGTTCTGATGCAGCCAGATGTGTGTGCTGCCTCTGCATAGGGGTCAGGTCACACACACTCAGCACTGCCGACACACCAGGGCCTTTTGGCTTTGGCTATAGAATATTTATTTTATTGCAAACAAAATCTGAGGTATGAGCAGCTGATCCAGAACCCACACCCGCCCAGGCTGGGGCAGTCTCCACTCACCCCACGCCAGGCCCTGGGTCCTATGGGCCCAAAACAGCCCCCTGGAAGACAGAAGGGCCCTGTGCACTGAGGTAGCTGCATCTTAAGCCCCCATGAGTACAACCCTCCAGGGCTGCCTGATTTCCACACGGATCAGTGCCCGATTCCCGTGCAGAGGGGAGGCAGGAGGCAGGCAGGACAGACCCAGGCTACAGGTGGCACACACCCCACCCTCTGCCCCAACAAACATTCTAGCCTCTCAGTACGGGCACCTTCCCACCTCCCACCTAGGGGCAGCCCAGCCAGCAAGGGCAGTGGGTGGCCACCAGAGGCAGGTGTGGGAGGCTAGCAGGTCACTGTTGCTCCAAGCAGTCCTCAGTCACCCCCTGGGCGGCCAGCTCAGCCAACACGTTGTGCAGGTAGTTGGGGTCAGGGTAGCCGTGGCCTGTCACGTTGCGGTCCATCTCCGTCTTGTGGTGGATCTCGTTCCATACCACCGTGTCGGTCTCACCGGTGGTGCTGGACGTTCCCACGGTGAAGATGAGGCGCCTCTTCCAGGCCACCTTCAGGAGTTCCAGGACCTGCCGGAAGGGGGAGGAAGAGGAGGGAGGTGGAAGGGGAGAGGAGGAGACAACAGAAGGAGGGAGAGGGAGGGGGTTGGGGAGGTAGGGAAGGCCCAGTGAGCAAGTGTGGACTCTCTCCTGGTGATCTCACCCAGCCCTGGTCCTCCATCCATGGGGACCCCAGCACTGCTGACCAGGCAGCCCAAAGATCCCACATGAGCCTGGCCCTGCCTCAGTGCCCAGTCGCTAGGCCAATACCCGGTATGTCCCTGAGTCCTCCTGCTTCCCAAGTTCATGCTGGGCGAGCTCCCTCCCTCCCTTCCTCCCTCCCTCCCTCCCTCCCTGCCTGGCCAGCTGCCAGCTGGGGCCTTTCCTCTCCATGGCAGCCATCCGAACCTCATGTCAGCAGCTCCACCCAGAAGGCTCCAGGAGTGCTCAGGTTCACCCCATTCCTAGGGTGGGCTTGCAGGCTGGCCCTGCCTTCACAAGCCCTCACTGCACAGCTTGTCCCTGACCTTCCCCCATAGCTGCAAAGTCCCTATCCGGTCTCAGTGTGGACATGACTCCACAGGCCATATTGGGTCACCTAGTCCCCCGATTCAAATCTCTGACTTTAAAGAGCTTATGACCCGGCCTAACAGGTTGCAGGGAGCCCTGTGCTATCCGGGCTTCTCTCCTTGCACCCATGGTGGGTCCTCAGGAAGGAGCAGGAAACACCAGCCCTTGTATCTTGTCCTCCCGCTGCACAGGCAGGGCTGAGTGTGGCCACCTGGCCTCCCACTGCCGGTCAGGGCCCTTCCCTGCCCTGAATGGGCGGAGGGAACTTTACCTTGCGGCCCTGGGTGTTGTCCGGAAGGTAGCACTGGCGGGGAAACCCTCTGGCGGTGAATGGCTTTCCAGGGTTGGGGTGCTCGGGGCCCTGCAAGGGGAACAGGCAGGAGGATGGGAGTGATCCAAGGGCCCACCGAGGCAGCCTCATCCCTCGGCCTTCCTGGCTGCAGTCCTTTCCTGTGCTGAAGTGACCAAATAAGTCCCGCACCCGCCCCCCAGACCTAAAGTGCACATGGCCCCCCAACCTACAACTGCCCTTCCTCAAACCTGTGCCACTCTGTCTGGTGTGAGACACCTGCTTTCTCCCCTGATGACACTGGGAACCCTTCAGAGACAGGGACAGACTCTCCTACTTCTTTGGCCTGAATGGAAGGACCTTGCTTGTGACCCCACACACACCACAAGTCACACCCTCTGCTCTCCTGTCGGGATGCACAGCCCGGAGAACCCTGAGAACAAGCTGGAGAGGCCCTGGGACAGCAGTGGCTCACTGGACAGGCGAGCTGGAAGAGCCCATGGCCCCTGCTCTCTGCCCTCGGCCACTCAGGGACAGGTCTGTGTACAACTGGAAATTCTCCTCTGCCCTGAGGTGCTAGCCTGTCGGCAGTGTTTCTAAATTTCCCTGAGCCATGGAAGAGGGAACCAGGGGAAAGGCACGTCATTCAACAGGACAGACGGACCCCATCTGGCACCTGGTGCCCACTGCCCCCCGTCCTTCCCCCAGGCCCCAGGCACGGGACCCAGAGGATCAGGGCTCCTACCTCAGCCTCCACCGGGGGCCCTAGACCTGTGCTTCAGTTCCTGACACCCAGACCAGACCCTGCCGCTGCCAACCCAGGCCTGGGTCTCAAGAACAATGGTCCTGCCGGGCTCCTCAGCCCCTCCCACCCACACTCTGAACCCAAAGGGCTCCTCACTGCACATGCTGTCCAAAGGTCCCCAGATGCCCAGTGTCAGTCCAGCTCAGATGTCTCCTCCTCCAGGAAGGCTCCCTGGCTCCGGCAAGGGTTGAGGCCACCTCTTCATTTCCACAGCCTAAGAGCCTGCCCCAAGCCCCAGCACTACTGCCCCGGGTTCCCAGCCCTCCCAGCTCCGGCCTGAAGGGGAAAACTGGAAGCCTGAGTGTGGCAGCATAGGCGTCCTCACCCCCAATCCAGGGCGCAAACCGCTGAGAGAGGGGTGGGCTAGGAAAAGGAGTGCCTAGGAGTGACAAATTCCAGAAAGATCCCAGGAGGCTCCTCTTGTGCAGGGTCCCCCTTACCTGGATGCCGTGAGGAATGTTGTAAACGATGAGTATTGTCCCGC